GATTCAAAAGCCGACCTTACTTAATAATTTTTAGCGCATATTTCGATAAAAAAGATAAAATCTAGTTAGCTATAATTATCGTGTATTCATTATGCAAAATTTTTCAATTCACCGCTGTTTTTCTTCCATTTGTTTTTTCCCCAGTGCATTTTAGCACTATAGTTAATAGTATTCATCAGATTGTACTATTACGCTAATATAAATTTCTTAATTAATATCAACAATTATTTAACTTATAATGGATTAAAAGCTATTCGTCAGACTGATAAAAAATACAGTTATTAATAAGGTTGCATTGTATACTTATTTTCTATTTTTATAAAATAAAAACTAATTTCGTAAAAAACCATCATCATGTGTGACATAATTTTTATAATAGTATTTTATAATAGTATTTTATCTTGATAAAAATGTCACAATTACATCTGTTGTTAAATAAATTAATGTAACACAAAAATTACAAAAATAGGTTTTAAATTTCAGTATAAACATTTTAAATATTTCTAAATTATTACTAATTAAATTAATACTAAACCAATTTCTCCAATATTTTCTTTGCAATAAGAAAATTGATATTTTTGTATTTAAAGATTTGTTAGAATTGATTCATGTCCTCATTCTGTATTAATTGTTATTTTTTAAATAATGAAACATTTTTTAAACCAGTTATAAAAATAAGATAAAGTAATGTGGACAGGACAATCAATAATATAGAATTATAGAACATGTAGAAATTATAGAACATATAGAATTTATACAGAATCCGCGTTAGAAAGGCTTAAAGACGGATTTTTTTTTACCATTAATAGATAGATGAGGCTTATTATGAAATTGTTGATATTAACATCAATGATGGAAGGTACCATATGATAAAGAGATACTTACCTGATCGTTACGGCGAGCAGGACGATCAAAACGCCCACCAGAACCATAGCGATCAGCACTCCACCTATCATGTAAACACTACCGGTGGGTGGATCTGCAACAAGATTTTATCTTGGTTTTTTATTTTGTTCGGAACAACAAAAAAATATTCAATATTTGTGAGAATTAAAGCATGCAAGAATCAAATATTTGAGGATATTAATACAATACTACTATAATATATATTTTGAAAGAGTACATTACATCTATAAAAACTTATCATTTTGAAAAAAGATTGAAAAAACTACAAGTATATATTTAAAAAAAAAATAAACTATATACTTTCTCAATCGATTTATCTCATTATTTTATGCACAAAAGTTAAAATACAATTAAATAGTTTTCGAATAGTTTACGAGATATTTTATATCAGAATGTGTGCGCGACTTTGTTGCACTTTGTGAACTTGGCACAAGACATTACCTAATATCGTGTATGAATACAAATTGAATTATTTAAATGTCCAATACATCGAGATCCAATTTGAAAATTTCTCGACTACTTAAAAATCTAGAAAATTTTAAATCAATCTAGTTCTAATTTGATAGAGGAAGGAAGTATAAGTTGTAAAATGTTGCGTGAAATGTTGCGGAATTCTTTTAGATAGAATCTGGATAGATGAAACAAGATTGGCGAAGATAAGACGAGAAGCGAACCGATCGTTCGACCGAGCGAAGGCCGAGTCACATTTTTCCCTGGCTTCTCCGACCGCGAAAGAAGAACCTGTCGTCCTTTCAAGTTCAACGCCATCTTCGAGTTCGACTTGGGGTAAAAGGGATTGCGTGAAAAGGGAGATCTTATGCCGCTGCGGCGTAAAATATCTCCCGCTTCTCGTGAAATCTCATACTATATCTCATACGTTTCTCTAACTCTTCTCAAACGAATCCTACAGTTATTTTCTTGTCGATTTTCATTGGACAACTTCGAGACAGAATGAAAAACAGTTTGTCACGCGACTAATTCGTAGAAGCTATGTTCGTAAACACGATATCTCCTTTATTTATGCAACAAAATGAAAACACTCCTTTGGAAATGAAGAAGATATGATTTATTTTGGATACAGCGGAAGAAAACAAGAGATTTTCAGGGAATAAAAAGGCTCACTGTTTCTCGAAAGAGACAATATGTAATATTTTTGTCTCGTAAAGTGTTCTATAACTATCTTTCTTTGGAGTAAAATAAAATTACAGAATGTTTAATGAATTGTCTGCTGCGTAGCGATTTTTTTTATAGCTTATATATATGACGAGAGCACATATGTTCGGCGAATCGGCGTAATATTCCGATCGTCATCGCGGAACACTCTGCGTCTCGTCCGCAAACAGTTTGGAACCTGTCCAGTTTGTCGCAAAACAGTTCACAGATTGCCGTCAGCTGATGCCGTTGGCAGATCCCGAGTTTTATTTTTTTAACCTCGCCAGATATAATAGTCACAACATTTCAGGAAATTCAAACAGTCTCTCTCGTTGCAAAGAGTTGATCTTGAAACTGTCAATTTTAACAGATAACATCGTCACAACAATTGTCAAATGATCGACACTTAACAAATAATATCATTGGAGTATTTCAGAAAACGATGTCTTTATAAAGAGATGATATTTTGGAGATATTCAAGATAATTCAAATTAATTTTAGCAAAATAAAATATAAGCGTTGTAAAAATAATCTACAATCACACATTAGAATATCACACATTAGAATTTACTTTAAGAATAGTGGATATAGATAATGTAGACAATAAAATGATAAAATTAAATAATATTTAAAAACTTATTTTTTAATAAAAAATAAATCAAATGTTATATTTTCTCTCATGTTTACGTTATATTTTCTCTCTCTTTTATTAACATGTATGCTGTGTACGCGTGCCTATATTACATACATACATACTTTGTGTACACTTATTATATTTTAACAATAATTTCGCTTATATTTTTTTGTGTAATTTCACTATTAGCTCAATATTTTATTAATTTACTAGTTTAAGAAAAATCGCAAGACTAATAATATTTAGCTCTTGAGAAATGGTAAAGATATCAAACATAATCATACGTTACATAACGATTCGTATCGACAATATATAACGACACATGTTGTACTTTAATAATGCAAGAGCCTTCCTGTAGCGCGCAAGGACAACATTAAATAACTAAAGCATATGGTACTAATAAAACTGACTATCCTTGGTCAAAGTCATACGTTTCTTATCTTTTAAAACTATTCGAATTTTTAAGAGATTATTTAAAGTTCTTACATATTCGCATTAATATATGCATATTAAAGCTTTAAGATTTGTTCAGATCTAACATCCAGGTATTTGCATATCAGGAAAGCGAATGCGATGCTACAAATTAGAGTAATTTGGAGATTTCGAATTTTCTAAGATACTTGAATTATCAAATACATATACATATACAAACACATGAATATATAAACAGTAAATTAATACGTTTCCATAAATAAACTTATTCAGCAAAATTTTTCTATTCGATTAATAAAATAAATCTTATTAAAATATCAAATAATTGGTTATTAATAAAATTTGTTTATTTTTATATTAAATATATAGAAGCAGCAATAATTTTGCTGCGATAGCTATTATTTTTCTCCTTGCAATAATATATTGGTATAAACCTTGACTTATTTCTATATAAAATTAATCGATAATAATGTATATGTGTGATTAATTATTCAATGAGAACTAATCAGTCAAATCATAGATTTGTCGAATAAGATTATGATTAAACAATTGTAGAGCGAATTTAAGTAAATTATATATATATAAAATATATAATATTATAATTCACTTAAATTCTTTCTACAATTTTTAATTGTAGTCTTATTCAATAAATCTGTGATTTGACTGATTTGTTAAATTTTTTCTTAGCCTTATAAAAAAAGAGTACAAAGAGACAAAGTGGAGAAAAAGAGGGGAGGAGAGAAAACGGAATGCTTTGTGAGATTCGCAGTGGTTTCTCTATTGGCCGTTCACTTTGCCATTTCTCTATGTAGGACACAGTCGCTTGAATCATGTCATGATAAAGACGAAGAAACCTATTCGCCGTACATCGATGCGTCAATTTCATGCTAATGTCATCGTCAGCGTGCTAATAGTCACCAGCCAACATATACGGATACACTAACTACCAATTTTAAATATAGTTATATAAATATAGTATTTAACAAATCTTATATTCATAAAGTTCTTCTGAAATCCAAGACGTTATTTGTGAAGAATGTACAAGGACGCTAAAGGAGCTTAAGGAATCGTAAGATATTTGTAAATTTGTTTTATATCAATTGTACACTCTCATATATTTTACAAAATTTATCATTTCTTCTCAATGCATAGACATTCTTAATAATCAATTATTAATTTTCATCAACTAATTCTATTGAATAATTAATCACATCTATATATACATTATTGTCGATTAATGTAATAAAGAAATAAGTCAAAGCTTATATCAATATTTTATTGCAAGGAGAAAAATAATTGCTATTGCAGCAAAATTGTTGTCTATATATTTGATATGAATATAAACAAATTTTACTGATACCCAATTATTTGATATTTTAGTAAGATTCATTTTATTAATTAAATAGAAAAATTTTGCTGAATAAGTTTATGGAAACGTATTAAGTTGCTGTTAAAGCAAAACTCTATCTGTAGTAAATGTTATGACAAAACTGTTATCAAAATGCTATGACAAAATTATTATCAAAATGAGCTAAATCTCATAAGCTAAATCTCACGAGTTAACTCAATGAGAATTAGCCCGATTGGAGAATATATAGAAAGAGAATTAATTTGTTATTGAAGCAAGATATTTTGCAGATTTGTGATAAAACCAAATAAAAACAAATATGTTTATTATTCACATAATAATTGATAAAATTTGCTACAATAGCTAAATATTTGCTGCTTCAATCTCAAATCTCTTATATCCGCGAGGCTTTCAAAAATAACTAATGTTCAAACAACAGACATTAGACTAAAAATACATATCTCTTCGAGTTATTAGATTGATTATGTCGTGATCGAATATATGTATATCTTCGGACTTTTGCTCGGTCGAATATTACTTGAGCTGATATTGAATTGCGGTGATATCGCGAAGCAACAATCGTTCTAGGTTTTTGACTAACGTTGCGGTAACGTAAATCGCCACGACGTGACTCGAACCGAGGACTCAGCTTACGCAACTTAGTCGCGCAAATGACCGTTTTTTTCCGTGATTCCATGCCTCGCGTCGTCAGGATCGACGATGATGACGCATGAGATACTCGTCAAGAGAATCGGGAAAATGTCGTTGGCGTCATCCACATTGCCGTTTATCATCTTTCGCAAATCCCCCTCACCCATGATGATGATGTCATTGACTTCATCGATAGAGTTTTATGAACGAGATGGGAGAGGATATTTTAATTTCGTCGGGATCTTTAATACAGAGACATGTTATGAGTGTAGTCTCACTACTTTTCAAACATTTCATTGTTGAAATTATTATTGTATCCGCGCGACTGAGACGTACCTTCGATGCTATATCCAGTTGCCGCTTAACCCTATTTATAACAGTATAATCGAGACGTTACGTTATCCCGTTAAAAATAGCAGCACTGCTCTATCACGGATAAGGCGCTTGCCGAGCGATAAATCCGTAAGTAGTAATTAAGTCGTATTAATAAATTGCCGTACATCGCAACGTACGATGAAACGATGATACCGTACGAAGTGAATGGCTCCCAGGCCATTCTCCGTCGAAATACTTTTCTCCACTCTCTTGACTGATTAACATGATTTCATCAATGAAGTTCAAAGAAAAATGAAACTGGTTGAAGAACGAGTATGTCGAGTCTATTAATAAAATTGCAACTCTCTGAAAATACACAAAAGTGAATACGAATGAGTGTGCTAGAATTAATTAAACCAACAATGAAGAGATTTGCATAGATTTGCGAACGAGATTTCTGATTCGAAATGGCCTCGAGAAGCCGATCCGCCAGCTCATGCATGGCACAATAGTCCCACCGCGAAATTCCACCACTGTAACAAAAATATGAATGTCTTCAGAAAAAAAAAAAAAATGATTAAATTCTCTCTTCGTTACTTTCACCAGTTTCGAGTTTAAAAGTAGTGGTCCTAGGAGTCCATTTTGTATATACTACCGCAGCATCCTGTCTCTGTAACCAGCTGGTGATTCGATTTGTGGACTTTGTCTAATTTTTTATAGGATAACAGACGTCAAGGAAATGAGCTTGAGTTTGATAATGCCATCGGCATACATTTATAACCGTCCAACTGTTCAATGACGCAGTTCAGTGATGCAGATTCATCTCGGCACATTTTAAGCTACAGGTAAGGTGTATGACCCAAATATTGTCAGTCGATCGATTTGTGCGTATTTGTGCGATAGCAGAAGACTATTGGGATTCGATTTGCTTGAATTGAATCGATTTTATCCACTTGTACAATCTAACGAATAGTCAAATACGCATGTAATCGTTTCGAGTTTACAATTTTTACTTAAATTCTATCATTCTTGAATATTCTTAGAATAATATTTCCCGAAGATCCCTGGAGATTCCGGAACAGATTTTTCGAGAAACATTGAGCTCTTTTCACTATTAATAATGATATAAATTGCTCGTCTAGGTGCTTAACTGAATTGTAGGAGTTATGAAAACAATATCAATACACAGAACAATGAATTCACGAAGTACATTATTGTGTGTATGATAAATACCAATCGATGATGAGAAAGAAAGAATTGAAAGAAGACATTTAAAAGACCCTGACATTATTTAGAAATCTTTAAAAAAATTCATCGATCTAATATTAGCTTGATTGATATATTGCTAAACTTTAAATATATTAAATTAAAATGACATTATGAAAAGTGAAACAAATAACATTTTATTTCATTAATAAAACTACTAATTGATTATGACTTAAAAAATTAATTTTTCCTAAAAATAAAATTTGCTATAAAAAGACAATTTTGAAATATTAAATAAAGAAATAAAATAAACTAAAATATAAACTAATAAAATAAAATGAACATGTATATTGTTCTTTATTTTAAGACTCAATCTTGACTGCAATAAAATTCAAACTCGATTTTCTGAACGTATACGAAATAAGTTCAGGCAATTATACCAAGAAGGAAAAAAGGCAATTTCAATCTCTTTCAATCTCTTGATATTATCAACATGAACGTAATGACATTTTTGCAAGACCATTAACGTCATTTACGCGGAAAGCGTGACGACAAAGTTAGAAGTATTTTCGAAAATAGATCAAGAATGCAATCATTAGTAGTTATTAAATGCGTAGGAATTATTTGCAAAAAGGAAATCATCCTGTGTTATTTCACAGAAGACAAAGTGATTCCGGGAATTTTTCGAGATCGCGCGTGACGTAATATATGAAACGATTTCGTATGTCGTGACGCAATTTTCCGCGCCACTTTATACCATTTCTAATAGTTGTGATACGCATACTGCATTAATTCTGACGTGTGACGAGCGAATTTGTTAGTGTAAATTCTCGTAGATACAACGCGCGTACGTAATACGCTTGTAATCTGAACGTAATTTCAGCGAGATGATGAGCGCGAGCTCTCGTAATTGCGCTTGTCTACGTCAATGCGAGTGCACGTATGGATAAACAGCCATTATTATGTCGACTCTTGCGATTAGTACAATTGAAGTTCCGGCGGTATCGTCAAGGCGCAGGTGTCCCCCATGTGTCGTTATTTGCGTCTTCCTCTTCTCTAATTTGTTTTTTTTTTGTCGCTTGCATCGAAAGTAGTGACATCTGTCTCACGAAGCAAACCACGTGATTCGTGGTTCCGATTATTCCCGTGTAAAAATGAAAAACACAAACAAATAGAAAAATGTCCAAGTTAACATCATTCATCTTTACGATCGTATGTACAAATCTGTATGTACAATCCGTATAAATGAGTGAAATATTCTATATAAATTTTATGCAGGTGTTAATTCGCTAGTAAATTTTTCGGCGGTGAAATGAAATGCGGTAGGTATTCGCGAAGAAATTAAAGAATATTCAATATTTTGAAAGTGGCACAAATACGAGCAATTAGAACCAAGTACATATTTCGTTGCAAAAGCAATTGGGCACTCTTGCGATTTATTTTCGTGTTGCTTGAGTTCGATAACAATCGCGTCATGACCTTTCCGACCGCAAATTGCCGCCGTCTGACCTCCACTACGACCTGAATTCGATCGAGACGCTGATCGATCCCGAAAATGTTCTCGATTCCAAGCATCGAATTTTCGCATTCTCATCTTTCTAATTAATGAATTTCGATATTTATTATTATGCCGATAATTATCATGTATTTTAAGTTAAAACGTACAAAAATTAGTAATATTAAAAGAGGTTTCGTTGTGTGAATAAAATCATATTGTCCAGCATTAATTATAATTAATTTTGTGACAGATGAATGACATGAAGGTAAAAAAAAAAACATCAATTTTTCGATTATCGATTGAGAACCACTAGGGAAGATGATATGGAATGTTCGGATATTCAATTGGATTTATGGCCTGCTTTCTCTCCTCATTAATTATTTGAGAACACTTTGAGAATACTCTCGATTCTTTATAATCGGTCTATTTTCGTCGGATACGCGCCTATACAGAAAAAAAGACGATCTTGTTTTGCAGTAGAACGACGATTAATAAGCCGATTAATTTATCATCGGAATTTTCCGTCTCACAAAGACTCGCTCTTACACAAGATTAAATTGCTAATTCAACAAATTTCATTGAGTTTCAATAGATAAGTGATAGGCGATTTGCATAATTGCATTTTTCGCGCGATCGCATAAATAATCATCATCAGTCAGTCAGTCAGTCAGTCAGTTTACAATTGAATTTGACACAATTAACATAAATTCCTTTGAAAAAATAAATTACGTAGATTCATATAGAAGGTGAAAATTTTTTTTTAAATTTTCCCAACATTTATAAATAGATTAAAAGCAAATGTTTTTGAAAAAATTGTTTAAAATAAAAGTTTTCAGGTGTAAAGAAAAAATATGGTGCACACAAAAATTTTTTTATCGTATATTTTATAATATTTATAAAAATACTAATACAATGAAATATTTAAATGTAATATTTTTTAAAATAAAATAAAATCATGTGTTTTCTTTTATTCTTTTCTTTTATTAAATTCTTCTTTCAATTCATTTTGTATATAAGCATGTTAAAATATAAAATATAAAAGTCAGGAATTTACATTTAAAATATAGATCAAAATAAAGATTGTATAGTTTCACTTGAAGAAAGTGAATATTAATGCTTCGTAATGTGTGCATTTGTAAAAAAAGTTGTTGCGTGCATTATGTGAAATTATGCTAAATTTGAAATTTTTATTTGAAATATTCTTCAAAAACGCTTCGGTTTTTATTTTGAATTTCAATATGTTCTTTCTCTCAATCTATGTATTTTAATATAAGACAAAGCTAGATTACGTTAATTAGAAATCGTGAGAATTGTGCATATACGTCACTATTTTCCATGTTTCAACGATAAAGATAATAAGATCGAGTTTTAATTCTCATCTTCTTAAATATTGCAAAGCTGATCTTTCGTTATTCTTGTTATTTGTTGTTTCGTTCTTGAAAAAAATTATTATAACATGAGATAAAATATAATAAAAATGAGATACATGAAATAAAATAAGTGTTTAGGAGTATACAATGAAATTGCAATGATATGGTGAGAAGTGGCAGGAGAAGCCAAAATATTTATACTAATTCTTAGCATAGATATTTAATTATTTACACTTGTTAATAAAGAGTATTAGATAAAATAATATGTAAAATAAAAGAAGCTGAATTAAATTAAATCAATAATAAAGGTTTTAATGTCAAAGATAAAATTTTGTTGCGCATGCAGTGGGAGACTCACCGAGATGTGACAACGAATATGGATCTGAAACAACAAAAGAGAAACGGCACGATTAAATCTTATTCAAATTTAAATGACGCGACCTGCGAGTCATCATTTAATTAGCTCAATTAAATTATGATTATGAAACAATATGATGCATAACTAACCTAGGTACGGGAAGAACAGACAACTTGCAATTTTTCTTTCGATATTTATAAATTCTGATATATTGAAACTATCAATCCTAGATAACGATGTAACAAGTTTATCTTTCATAATTGGCATCATAATATTTCAAAACGTCCTTTCTAAAGCAAAAATCCATTTTCTGTCAACTAAACTTCTTTCGGAGTATTGTCGTAATGTAATTACCGTTAAGAATTAAGGGAAAAAACTTTCTCACAGATTGTAATATCATGTAATATCATGTATTTCATTTTGCCGCGCGTACTTAACTAATTAATCGCGATAATCGTTTCTTTGACAATAGATTTCAAATCACGGAAACAACTTTTTCGGCAATTATATACTCGCTTGATTCAATCGGCACGAGTTATCGATTCTTTGTACGATTTTGCCGAAGCAATTATCTTCTCCTTCCTTTTCGATTTTGTTTGTCGAAGATTATTATAGAACGTATGATCTGCGTTCAAGGCCCATCAACTGAATCTATCGACGTACATTAGATAAAGTAGCGGGGAAAGTCTATTTATAGACTTATAGGCTCCTTCTCTCTCTCTCTCT